CCAGAGTGAGTGTTTTATAACCACAGCAAATGCCACTGTACACACTGCCAATACAGATTTAATAACACGATTCTGAACTGTACAAGAGTTATTTATTTTCCTTAATCTCAAAGCTATTTTTAGTAGTACAAAAAAGCCATATTAACATTTTTTCCATTAGAAAACAACAGGATGTACAAAACTTTGGATGAAAAGTATGTCAAATTGTATTTAGTCACTTGGAGGAAAATCCGCCACTCCATCAATACCACCCAGAGTGTTTTAGGCAGTGATTAAAATCAAAATAATGCATCTTAATAACCCCAGCTGATAAAAGAACAAACCCAGCAATATAGAATCATTTTCTACACAGTATTTTCAACTACTAACTTCAGGAGTTATTTTTCAGAATCCATTTCAATTGAGTCCTACTACATACCAGGCACCATACTTGGCCAACTAGGGATTTTCGAACAAGTCGGTTAAAGTGGGAAAGACCCACAAATCAGTCCTTTGGTTACCAGGTTTGACTTCAATCTTCCAAAAATCTGGATCAAGTTTCCTCTTTCTAAATGTTACTTGGTTGCATTAGTGGGGAGGGTGTTTAGAAAGAAAAGAAACCATTAATTTTGATCCATTATTTCAATTACAGCATTATGGAAAAGCTAAGCTATTATTCTTTATTAATACGATGTAATCTTGAGGTGCTGCCACAGGTGTGGCTCATCCTGAACCCCACCCTGCTCCAGAACAGCACAACAGGTGGACTATTTTGCATTTAATATAGCAATAGCCATAAACTCAATCAGTTTAGGGTACAGTAAAAGTATCCAGTTATGAGAAAGTAAACTAGTAAGAATTAATATATAAAGAAGTATCTTTCCTTTTGAATAACAAGATACTAACACTTTGATAAAAAAAAAAAAAGCTTGCAGCTATGCAAATGGTTCATAAACCGACAATGCTGTCCATTCAACACCATTAATTCCATATAGAAACCTGTTTTCTTAAAGTGTAGCACATCATTTAAGCAATGATTTGGAAATTAGCCAAATGCTAAGCCTTACACTAGCAGGTCATATACCACCGACATTTAAACATGTCTGGCCATCTTTCCATGACTTACACACAGTCTGAAGTCAACACTCCTATTGATAATAAAATTTAAGTTTCTGGACCTGCATGACAAGAAAATGGTTTATGAAGTCTCATAAGACATTTTAAATAGTCTTAGGGTCGAGGCATGTTTGTCTTAAGTGACTTTATCAGGCATGCTATAACTATAGTAAAAGTAATTTTCAATTTGTAAATGCAAACTAAAAGTAGATAAATGGTAACAACTGACACAGTACAAGACCTTCCTACATATGTAGTCTGACACTGCGGATTTGTGAACTTCAGAGCTTGAAAATGGCATCTCAGAAACCACAACCACATGTACTTCTGATGGCATGCAAGGTCTTCCTAAAAATTAACCTAGAAGTCAGCCTCAGAACATAAAAAAACACCACAAATTTGTACATTTTATTCACATTTATTTTTTGCTCTTAGTGTGCTCACAGAAAATTAGAACACCTTAAGCAGGAGTTGAATAGCAATGTTTGTAAGCAAAGTTACATTCCAGCTCTACGTCAAATTGGTCAAAGCTCCTCCAGTATTTACAAAACACGATAGACGAGATGCTACACAAAACCATTGCATCTGAAGATTTGTTTTTCTTTTATTCTCAAAGACAACTGGAAAAGAAAGCATTGTCTGCTGTAATCAAAAACATACCACAGTATAAACAGTAACCATTCCACTTATCACAGCTTGGTTGAGTTTAAAATTTGTGTTTAAAAGGTCCAGGATGACTGCAGTTTTACAAAAATGGGCAGGGTGGAGAGTTGCAAACTTCATGTGCTTCTGAAGGATATCAAGATTTGTTTTTTATACAATAGTCACAGTTAAAAACACCCTGCTGGTAATACATAATTACACTTTATTAAGGTCATAAACCAGCAATAAACAATAAAGCCTATACAACTTGTAATTCTACTTAATCACTGACTGGTACAGCTAATAGGAGATAAGCGAGAAGTTCCTATTATGGTTTAGATGAACTCCTAAGACTATGATCTTTTTTTTTTTAAATCTGGGTATTGGTGTTTTTATTTTTTTTCCTCTTTCCTTCTGATTCAAAACTTGTAGTGTTGTAAACCTGCCTCACAAAATACATCGTAATAACTTTTCTTTAAAAAAAAACAAAAACAAAAACAAAAACTAAGCCTTTACACCATCATTTCTAGTGGCATATTATCTTGGCAATGTTATACACTGCTTCAGTTTCCCACAGTGGCCCCTATCACTTCATTTGATATTCCTTTTTGACCCACCCATCTCCTTCATATATGGGCATGTCTATAGATTTGACAAAGAAAGTTTACATTTTTTAATAAAGATGCAAAGTATGCAAAAAACATTAATACTGATGCAAAAAAAATTAAAAACAAAGAAAGAAGAAAGAAGGCAGAGGAAGCTCTCGCCACTGTCCTCGACCTCTCGGAATGGTGTTAACAATGATCTGAGATGGGAATCTGTGGGAAGGGGGGGGCTTTATAAAAAAAAAAAAGAACGAACAAAATTTGCTGCTAAAAAATATGTGAAATTAAAAAAAAAAAAAAAGGAAATCTTTTAAAAATAAAT